GGAGATGCGCGGCAGAGTGACTTCATTCAGCGACCCCCAAATCTAATCGGATCTGGTCCACAATGCGCGGTGTGAGACATCTTGGGGAGATTTTCTAAGTACTGTAACAAGCGTTCTGTGCGTGTTGTGGTGGAGGAGGAGGATGAGGGATGAAGGGGGGTGTTTTCGTGATCATCTCCTTGAGCGCCCGAGGCTTGTCGGGATGATTGATTTCGTCTGTTCAGTCAGATTAAGCGCGCGAACACCTATACTAGCAAATTAATTAAAGTGCACGCAAAGATGAACTCCGCGAGATTAACCTGTTTGTGCACCCGGAGGAGAGGGGGCGATAATTAATGGCAAACTATTTATATCTGGAGCCTTAAAGGATGCAGTGTGCGCTACTAACCCCGATTGTTACATGTGTGTTCAGTATTTAGCACAAAGTAGGTTTGGTTCCTTTCCATTAGTTGATTGGTTTGTCTTTGGATGTAAGTTTCCAGTGTTACAGCATCAATTAAATATTTGACCAATTTGCCATCCTGGTGGGTAACAGACTGGGTTTTAGCCTTCTGGATGTACTGACTATCCAAAATCAGTGCGAGGAGATAACGAATCAGCAGAAATGATCGGACACAGTGGAGTACCACATTTGATCACATCTGCCCCGAGCATAGTGCTGAAATAGTCAAATCAATTAGGCAGAAAGTTATGGATATCAATCCAGGCGAGTTTACTGAATTTTATTTGGGCAGCATACAAGTTTGCATATGCAGAACCCCGTTTGTTTAACAACACTGTACGTTTTATATCTCCCAGAAGCATAGTCAGCACTTTTCAACATTAAGCACATAATCAGGAGATGCACACACACACACACATTTCCAGGTGATATATGTCTGCACAAAATGCTGAAAAGATACAGACACTGATATTTCATTCTCTTATTTTTCTGCGGTCATGGCGACAGCTGGACCACTTTTTTTATTATTTTGGTTCATTTAAAATTCTTAATGAACTCTGTAGTAACTGAAAAACGTTGATGGTGATCAATAATAAAAACACTTGTTAGTTGTAGCCCTTCTACAGGACACAGGAAAAATGTCATCTCAATGCTTTTCAGCTCTGCCTTCTCAAACATCAGTCAGCTCCTGCTCCCGCCTACCTGTCTGTCTGTTGTTTGTCTGTACCAGAAGCAGGCTAGGAGAAGAGAAGAGATAGTTTAATAAACCCTTTTGCAGCAGGTTATTTACAAAAAGAGGACAGTTTATTTCTAGCATGTCAATAAGAGGGGCACAAGACCAATGAATGTATGCTCACGTTTGGAGAATAGCAATGCAGGGAACAACAGTGGAAGCCAGAAGGAGAGAGGGGGTTAGAATAGTGACACACACACACACACACACACAGGCCTCTTGAATAAGTCAGTATGATAGAGTGCACTGTGCTGATGAAGATTAACCGCTTCTCCGTGTCAAACCTCATCACAAGAGGCTTTTTAGACTGAGGGTGCCCTTTACAGGCAACGCTTTGGGAAAGGAGTGTATTTATACAATATCAGTCTGTGATATACACCTCTGTGACTGCCTGCTGTACAGCGTTCAGGCCCCGAGCCACAAAGAGCCAAAAAAAGCAGCATTGTTTACTGCTTCACGGGAAGCAAAAAGACCCAGAGAGCTTGGTACGTATAAATTCAGGTCGTCATTCAGTCAGGCTGCTTGCAGATGTTGCCTTATAGCGGCTTTGCAGTATCAGAGGCCACTGAAAACTGTGAACAGTTTGATTATTTCAGTTTAGATCATTAAAAGTTAGTCATTAAAATAAAAAAATGTCCATATTTTGCTCAAACTATTTCATATCATAAATGACATTTTTGACTCTTTGACTGGGTGCGGTCATTTTACATCACATCTGTTTTGTCGGTAATTGTAAATTTGTGATCAATGAATCAGTACAAATCAAGAGATTCACTGGTGAAAACTGGAAGCTCCAGTCCTAACACACACACTCGTTGTTCACTGCACAAACTGTCAGGATGATTTTCACAAATACTGACAGAATCAGAGTCATGTCATTTGCCTTGATTTGTTGTTTAACCCTTGCTTAACCTGCCAAGCCAACTAAGATGAAATTCATACATACAATGATGAGTGACAAGAGGAGAAAACTGTCCTGATGGTGATTTGGGGAGAAGAAGGGCAACAGTTTGGAGAGGCCAACGGAAAATGTGACAGTAGCGGTAAAGCTTTCAGTGAAAGGGACAGTAAAGTAGCACAAAGGTCAGACTACAGACAGTTGCCATGTTCTTCTCTGCACAGCTGGCACTGACAGGAAGCACAGCATGGGCACACACGTCATTGGGTACAGGAGGATGTGAAGTTTGTTGTCTTTGGTTCTTCTTGACGTGTATTAGTGGCGATCACACAAAGTGTTTAATATGGACTGTGAGTGATTCGAGTGCTAGTAATTAAAAATATACTTGTGAGCATCTCAGCTTGCTACAGAGACCTGAGGGAATGTGTGTATATTTGCAGATTTATTTATTTATTTTTCTGTGGAAGTGAGCCCAAGCAAGATTAATGCTCCATGTTAACAAACCTCTCGGTCTGACCCTGGCCAGCTTGCAACAACACACACATACGTGCTCCCACAAACACTATCCACTTGATCTGCTGTTGGGTTAATGCTGACCATGAGCAACCCTGCTTGCAGAAGCATATAAACACACACACACACACACAACACACAGGCACACGCACAAACTCTGAACACCGGCCAACTTTCAGCCACTTTGATGCATTAGTCCTAAGGTGCCTTTTCTCCTCATTGTGGTTTGGGACCAAATTGATTTTGAAGCGGGCATTGCTACCATATTTCAGATTAGAGGCCAGAAGAGGGGTGAGCCACATTTACACAGAGCATTTAAAGTCAAAAACAACCTATCGCATTTTTTGCTGCTGATATCATTGAGTCACATTGATTCCCCCAGAGAGCGAATCTGTACATTAGCGAAGACTCACTCCTGAATGTTAATGAGGGAGCAAATGCTTTCAAATGATTAAAAATGCATTCCAAGGGGCTCTTCATCCCTTGACAAAAATTAAAAAGGCTTTTATTGTGGTGGCATGTTAGCCATAGTTCTGTCTGCGGCTGCTGGTGCCAGATGAAGACAGATGGGTGAGGGTTTTGTCGGGGTTTGGGCCCGGCTCCAGTAACCTGCGCTTAGTGAGAACGTTTTCATCTAGTTGTTGATGTCCGGCAGCCAGATTCCAGCAAACCCTGGATTAAAAAGGTCTGGGGAGGAAGATTACGAGGGCAAAGTCCTGTTTCTGGATGGCCCAAGGTTCTGCACAACACGAAATGCATTATTTATTATTAGTACTGACTGAGAGCACCTCAGTTTGGTTGTTGGTGTTCTGGTTGGACACATCACTCCGCTGCAGGATCCTCTTCGGTTTCCCAGCCAGACAAAATTCAAAGCTTGACTGAAACGGTGGTTTAGTATTTTAGTGAAACAAAGCCTGTGAGCGTGTTTACATACACACCCTGATTAGTCCTGTGTGCCTTTGATAAAAGGGAACAGTACCAGGATTTTTTATTAGGTGTGCTGACTCGTAAAGGGTGTGATGTTAGTGGAGGGGGCCACAATGAATTTAATCATCCTTCAACCAAAAAATAATATGTACTTGATACATGTGTGTAGCATTTTTTGTTTATATCTCTATTAATGTATCAAATGGTAATTATGCTGAAATTGGTTAATGCGCTTTTCATAATGAAAGCATAATAACAAAGTAATACTAATGTACATTTCTGATTTGTTAATGTACTAACCTTACTTAAAATTATATTTAGTTTTTGATAGAAACCTGATACTAATGTATAAAATGAGCACTGTACTGTACTTCCTTATTTCACTAATTGTTGGTTCTTTTTAGGAGTAAGACGACACTGTTCAATGAGATTTTTGTAATAAATCACACTGAAGTCACCCCTGCAGGCCTTTTCAGTAATTACTAGATATAATGAGAGCTCAAAAAGAAGCAGGGATGCAGCGAGTGTAATTTTATATTTTACAGCAAAAGACATGACACCAATTAGAACTTCTACTGGACATAAAGTCCCAGAATGGAAAATGTTTTAATCCAGCACTTTTTAATCCAGTGCACACTGTCACTACTACCGACAGCACGGACTGGGCAAACTATGTCCCAGTAAAGACTGAAAGCTCCTAAACAATTACTAAATGGACCTTGAAGTGTAACCCTCAACAAATCAAACACTGAGCAATTTGCCAGCCAATTTATGACTATACCACTAATCAGATTAGAGTTTTTCCATATTAAGATTAATTGGATTACAGTGGGTTCTGGCCTCCACGCATCCTGGTGTCAATCAAAGCTCTGACTGAAGAAGTACGGTGTTGTATATACATCCTGGCGTTTACCTCAGAGGGGGGTGCTGTTCCCATGAACCCTAAGGAAACAGAAACCCCTTCTGAAGAGAAAGACAAGGCTTACACCACCACAGGAAGCCACTTCAACCAAAACACAATGATCCGGGAGAACAAATGGGGCTGGTCAGTAAGGACACACTGTGTTGGCTATCAGCTCCTGGGTCGGTAACAACGAGCCATTCGATATGTTATCTATAGCATCAATTGCACAAAATAAAGCAGAAACCAGATATTTTAAACTGAATATCACTTTTCAGCTTCTGGTTCAAAGAAGGGCTTCATCAGGAAG